CCCCCCCCCCCCCCCCCCTCAAATTAAGTACCTCCTTTGAATAAGAACCCCCATCTTTTCCTCAATTTGAAATAAGCACCCTGGGCTCTATTTCAAGGATTTACGGTATGACTTTACACGAGGACTTTCGTACAATACTTTGATTCTCAGCAGGTCTAAGGTTGTTCACTTTCACTCCCAGTGTTTGTTGAAACTTGATCTTCCTCTTCCCTCCCCCCCCCCGCCCCCCGCCTCTTCTTTCTTATGCACTGATCAAATGCCCCATACAGATACCCTATGGATTACAAATTTATATTACCCTAATAAAAAATAGAGATCTTTTTTAACACAGGAATACCACACAGAAATGATTTACAAAGAATCTCCCTGATCTTGATTCTTGTCACTCACTAAACTTCAAACCAACATTTTTTTCTGTGCAACTTTGCCATATCTTGGTGCAATATTTCAACTTTGATTTTGTTACAAAAAAATCTTATTCGATTAGTTCCAGTTTCATTTTGGCAAGTTCCAGTTTTCATAGTTTTTGTGCATAACTAGTAAAAGAATGACTGACTGTTTTTCGACAAACTTTGACAGGTTCAGGTCACATTGCCAAAATGGGAACCATCATTTGTAATTGAAAATGTCATAATATGTCAATGCAGAACATATAATTTGAATTTTAAATCTTATCTTGTTGTTTTATCAGTTTTATTGTTTTACAAAATAACAACCATCATTTGAAATTGAAAATGTCGGTGTTAACGCAGAGCATATTTGAATTTTAAATCTTATCTTGTTGTTTTATTGAATTTCTCCTTTTTTCTTTTTTATCCGTGTAAGGTGACTCCAAGTTGTTGTAACATAATGGGAAAGTACTGGCCTGTTGCTGTGGAAGTGATTGTATTTCTGACCTTTTTTGCAACATCTCTGCTAGACATCATCACTCAAAAGCACATATACAACACTGCTGCAAAGGATCATGCCAATACAAACAAACTTTATTTTTGTAAAACATCAAAGAATACTGACTGCTGCAACTCTACTGACATTGGAATAAACATGCAGGGTTCCACTTTCACAGAATATTGGTTGCTTTATATTAACTTGGCATCACTTCTCGTGGCAATGCCGTCAACAGTTCTTCTTGGGATCTGGAGTGAAACAGATGGGCGCAAAGTTGTGCTCACTGTTTCCCTGTTAGGAACAGTGCTTCGCGTGGCTTTATTCATCATCATCCTTCAGTTTCAGGAGTCATTCTACTTTTTTGTAATTGCAAGTCTGATAACAAGCACACTGGGATACAACACCAGCTTAATGGCGTCATCCATGTCCCTTATTGCTGACATTACGAGCAGTGGACAAAGAACGCTGAGGATTGTTTTCTTAGACTGTGCCAAAGGTTTTGGAATTGGCTTAGCTTATTTCATTAGTGGTTTCTGTTTCGAACGTGATTGGTTCCAGTATTCTCCCTGGCTTGTTCTTGCTGTCAGCATTTTTAATATTACATATGTTGCCTTCTTCTTAGAGGAGTCTATACTCACCAATGAAGCTGCTCCAATATGTAGTTGCAATTATTTTGTTGGCATTTATAGAGTGTTCAGTTTTGATCCTGGAAATGGTAGGAGATGGCGCTTACTGACTTTTGCCACTGCTCTTTTCATAAGTGGGATAGTCACTACTGGTACAGACAATCTGTTTATTTTGTATGCTCAAACATCACTTTGTTTTACTCTGGTATGGACTGGGTACTTATACGGAGCTCTTACTCTGCGTTTTATTCCAAGCCTGGTTGGTGTCAAGTTGTTTCAGACTATTACAAAAATCTCCAACAACTGGCTAATTGAAACTGGGTTACTGTCATTTTTTGCTGGCCTTGTTCTGGCAGCATTTAGCAATACTACTCGATTGTTTTTTAATGGTAAGTGCACTGCTACATGATTTTCAGGGACAAATGTAATGATCTAAGTTAAATGTTTTTAATAAGTGATCTTATTATCCCTTACAGGTTCTTAGACTTATCAGTATGGAAAATTGTAGTTACTGTGCATTTCTAAAAATACTCCCCCACAGAAGGGGTTGGAATTTCCTGGGGACACCGCAGAGTTCTGTAAGACCAAAACAATTAAAGAAATGTATGAAGCTTAATTGGAATTTCCAGAGAGGGTGGTGGGTCTTAGAAAAAATCCCCTCCAGTGGGGGAATTATGGATATTTTCTGGCACTACGCATTTGAAATATTTCAGATAAAGTTAGGTATCTTTGTGTGGTTCAAAGAATATTCATATCTATGCCACTGAAAGTCTTTGTGAATTCTGGTGGCAGAGTGAGCTCAAAGGACAAAAATTTTAAACAAAAATGTGAAGATCAGCTAAATATTCTAGATGGGTGGGACTGGAAAGGGGAAGTGGTTCAAAGCAATCAGCCCTCTGTCGGGGAAGTATGGGCATTTCTTAGAGCAACACATTTTACCTGCGCTGGGATTGCAATTAATGCCCATGTTGTTAATCTGCGTGCAGGTGAAATGAACAAGGGCAGTCCTAATAAAAGATAAATTTTGCATTCCAAAGTCTAGTTTAGTGTAAAAGACTTCATGATTGAGACTAAGTTTGTTAAAATTCAAAGATTGTTTAAAAAATGGGTGTTTTCACAAGAAATGTCTACTGTATTGTGTCAATGTTATGACTGGAAATGTATTTAATATTTTCTTTGCATATTTCACAGTACCAGCATTTCAGTTTTTAGGCACTATGCCATTAGCAGTAATAAAAGGCAGTATGTCCAGGCTGGTGGAACCACACGAGCAAGGTAAGTTTATAAGTTAGAGAAGTATAATGGTCAATGGCTTATAATGATTTTGGCATATCAAACGTGGAGGGTTAATGAAGGCGGGTCCGATTTGCTGCAGAAGATGGAGGCCCTAAAACCATCCAGGTCTCTCCCATAGATCTGGCATTAAGTGCTGTGAGTCATGCCATTTACAGGATTTTTAATTTTCCCTTCGGGGCAAGTGAGTGGCATATCAAATATTTCTAATGAAGGCAGGTTCCTTTTTGCTCCAGAAGATGGAGAGCCTAAAACCGGGCAGGTCCCTCCCCAGATCTAGCATTACCTGCTGCTGTCTTTCATTAGCAATACTTTTTTAATTTTCCCTCTAGAGTAAGTGAGTGTCATATCAAATTTTGTTGAGGCAAGGGTGGGGAAGGGGCTAATGAAGGCAGATCCCCTTTGCTCCAGAACATGGCAGTCAATGGCAGGTTTTTGAATTTTCCCTTTCTAGCTACAGAGATATTTCCTTACTTACACTACACAACTTTCCCCCCTAGGAACCTTGTTGGCAGTTATTTCATGTTTGGAGAGTTCAGCATGTTTTCTTGGAGTCTTCATTTTCAGACGTCTCTATCAACCCACGAGTGATGTGTTTCCTGGCTTATCTTTTGTGATAGGAGCCTTTTTACTGATTATTCCGGCTGTTCTTGTTGGGTATGTGAAACTGGCAGCTTGTCTTGTTGTGTTTCCTCCATTTAAAGCCCCCTGTTGTGATCATGATTCTTTGTTGGTGCTCCCCCTTGAATAACTACCCATTACAACTGTGAAATTTCATATACAGAACCACCACTTCATCTTGGAAACCAGTCCAAAATTGTCTTTTATTTACGTAATTAAAACGAGGTAATGCTGCAATTGAACAACTTCCTATAATTAAATGATGAAATCTAATTTGACAATATTTTAATAATTATATTTTTGATGAAAACATAACAATATTCATAATAATCACCCTTGGATTTAAACAACAATAACAACAATAGTCTTAGTGGGTGGGGATATGAATGTACTTGTATAAATTAAAGTGAATGTTTAATTTGAAATCCTCTTCTTACATAATGAGGGGTTTCCATTGATAGGGTGTTTGATTAACAATAGTAAGTAAAATAGCTGAGCTATAATGAGGCAGCACATTTATCAGTACAAACTTCCGATCTTTCAGGATTATTCATAGAAACGAAGACCCCACCAGAAATCTGTTTCATCAAGATGAGTGTTCAGAGACTGACTTTGGTCGACAGTGCTCAATAAGCACCAGATCAACATCCAACCCAAGAATGTGTGGTGTCCCTGTGGTGACTAATGAAGACTTAAGTAGTTATCAAGAGTACAGTATTGTGACAAATGAAGAACAAGGAATTTCTTTTTAACAATATAGGCAAAGAACCTCACTTAGAAATGCCTTGGCATGTACCGTAAAGCTAACAGTATTCTGGAGTAAGTATATAGTATTAATATATGGTTATTAAAAAACTGTTTTGGAGTGAACAGAGTGTGACTGGTCCCTCTTTTCCATAGCAGAGTGAATGAAAAGCACAAACTTTGTTGGTGTATGTTTCAAAAATATTGCCTCAAATAGTGTTCTTTTAAGAATTTCGATTCCTTGTGTTAGGTTACACAATAATAATAATAAAATTATTATAGGAATTTATAAGAATTATTTATAAGAGTTTGAGTCCTTAAATAATGCATCATTAGTTACAGTAATGTCCTGTGTGCGGAGCAAGTGTTTTTGAGCAAATGACTTGGAGCTGCATGTTCGTAAATTATCATCTTGAGTTCCTTTGTTTGGCTAACTGCCCCCTTCATGCCATGTGGCACATAGGGTCACTTTTGTTTGGCTACATGTAGAAAAAAAATGATATTGAACTCTGTTCCCGAAATGAAGGGAAGATTGACCCTATTTCTCGAGCAGTTCTTTTAATTGTGACTGGTAATTGACAAATTGACATGGATCCTCAATTCTATAAGTTATTGTTAAAATCAAGTGATATTTATTCTGTAAGTTAAAATCAATAATTTAATTTCTGACCATAAGTTTTAGTTAAGAATTTTATTCCATAAGTTATAGTTAAGACTTTTAAGAGAACGAAAAACAATAAATTTCTGAACGAAAATAGAAACTTTGCTTATTTTACTTGAAAAAATACCTATCATATATGGGTTGTTTCACTATTTTTGAGTGATATTTCGTATATTATTTCCTAGAGATCAAGGACAAACTCAAGTCAAAGTTAAGCGATACTGAAATGCGCTTTCGTTTTTATCGCGCCAGTACTGTATTTTTTATCGAACAATGAGTGACGCGAGGGTGGACTAGACTAACCATATGCACGCTATGCGTGCCTATTTTTGACAAATCGTTGGCTCTGCTGTTGAAAACCCCTGACAAGCTAATCTGTCAATGCATTTCCTGATTAAAACATGAAAAACATCAACGTCGGTAATATTATCCCAGGTGTTAACAACAAAATTGTGTTCCGAAGCTAGTCTTAGGAGTGCAGATATGAGTCAGACACTGTACATACTCTAAATAAAAGCATTTATCTGCGCGTTACAGAATCACAATGTCGTCTCCAGTTTTCATCGTGGCTTTCCTGCCCCGCGACTACAGCACGCTTTATTTTGTTCTATGGGCTTCTTGATGCTTGGCTGAATGTGTTCTTTTCTGAGATTCTGTTTGTGGTCGTTCGAGTGGCTGAGGCCGAAGCTTTGGAAAATAGGAAAACGTGAAGGATTTCGAGATAGAATTTGCAAGAACAGCAGAGTGATAACTTTCCCACAGCATTTGGTTGCGTTCCCGCCTTTTCTTGGCTTCTTCAACTCTCGTTTGCCTATCTATAGCTTCCTTCTCTTTCCGCTCTGCTTCAGTTCGTCTGATCTGCTCTAGGCGTTGCGCCCTTGCCTCCTGCTTTTGATGTAGTTTCTCAGCAGTTTTTCTACTTTTGACGATTTGTCGTTCTTCTTCCAGCTGAATGTCGTACTCTTTTTCTTTTTCTTCAGTAAAGGTCAGGGCGCGCTTCACGTCTGCAGCTTGCTCGTTTAAATTCAAGTATGTCAACTCTGTTATCAAATGTTTCACTTGAATTTTCTCGATATCAAAACATTCTTGCTTTTTACGCTGCTTTAGAAGACTGTTACTTCTCAAGCTGCCTTGAGCGCGTTTTCCAGTCCTAACAGTCTTTACCTTTGAGGAATTTTTAAGAAACGAATCGCTTTTCTCTGAATTTGCCGAAGCATTGTTTATTTTTGCTCTTTCACTTTGCTTTCCACTCGTGGTTTTGCGTCCTGAGCTTAACTCAGTCCTGTATCTTTTGGCGCGCGTTTGTCGTAATATCTTTCTCGCTTCTTTCACAATTTCTCGTAAATTGTTTCTTAAAACTCGTTGCTTTTCTTTGATCTCTCGCTCGGTCTCTCGCTGCTGGCCTGAGTTTTTACTGGAATTATTTTTTGAGCCATGATTTATCACCAGAGAGCTGTCAGTAAACACGAATCGACCTGGACTGGATTCCGAAGCTCGGATGGCTTCAGAACAAATATGGTCCTTAAAGCTCGTGTAGGAAATTTCATTGGATTCAAATGTGGAATCACGGTATAGTAACGTGGATAAACCATCTACTGTAGACTCTTTGTTGTTCAAAATTGCGGTTTCTGATTTACTAAAACATCCTTCATTACTTTGAGAAATCTCTGCTGACTCGGCAAAATCTTCAGTAGGTCGCTTCACACGGCAAAACTCACTGTCAGTGTAATTCACAACACTCGTGTGAGAAGTCGAGGTTTCAGTTTCAGTTTCGGATTCACACGACAGTGACGGCGATTCTGTCGTGCAAGTGTCGTCTAATTTCCTCGCTTCTCGCGCTGCTGGAAACGTTGGAGAAGTGAGCGAACCATTGCAGTTGAAGTATGTGCTGTGATTTTCCATTTGTGAACCAGGACAGGTCAAACTCTCTGTGTCTCCGTCATAAGACTCTGTAAGTGCTGAAACTTTCCTGCTTGGGGCCAGAGTAGAACAGGTTGACGGCCTGGACATGTTTCCTTGTATTTACCTGAAGAGTTTAGTTAGTCTCCAACTGGCATTGTTTTCATACTTAAGACTTTTTATATTCTTTTTAGCATTCGTTGCAGCCACAGGTACCATAGGCAACAGCAAAACAACACGTGAAACATAAGATACAGATGCGTTTATCAGCGCTATGAGAAAAACATGGGGATTTTCTGTAATGTTAAACATCCGTTATGGCTTCCCATTGCTTTGTTTGCAAATTCAAAGGCGTGCTCAGACGACATAGCACCAGAGCTGTTCATATTTGATGAGCAAAGAAAGAAACAAAAATAAGGAGGAACAGACTCCGTGTCTCAACTTGCTTTTCTTCAGTCTAAGACGCGGCTAAATGTTGACCACTGCTGTGAAAATGGTAATAATTAAGATCTGGCCTGGCAGTTAAGCTGCATCATTTGCTCCGTCTTAATTGATCCAAAGTGAGTTTGAAAACAATATTTCGACGCGACAGTGTATTATTTAGAAACACGTTTCGTCTGTAGTTACTGGAAATATGAAAACTCCACTTTAAATTTGCTCAGTGACTCCCTGTTGAAAGACTGCACTGCTGTGCTTGTTATCTTGGTCAGCTCTATCATGCTTGTCCACGGCGTGATTTAGTACTTCACTCTCAGATAAACTCGAACCAAACAACATTGCATGTAATGTGTGCATAATTTATTAATGATGTTGAAAACACAGCGCGAATAGAATGTACATTGTTTTATCTCAAATCCTTCAAAGAAGATAAAGGATAATGGCAAAGTTATAATTGGGTCCGTGCTAATCGTTACTACACCACACAAGCAGCAATCTGGAGAGTGAAAGATGCTTTTAAACATGTTATTACTGCACTTGGGAAAAGGATTGATTAAAGTACTTTAAAGTGCAATCAAACCACTGTAGGGTAAAAAAATCATAAAAACACAAAAGATCTTTTCAAAAATCCTGATCTTTAAAGCTGACCTGATTGTCTCAGGGTGATTTACTGCAAGGAAAATAAAATGCCGGATAAGAGACAAATAATTGAAATATCAAGACATTGAGCCCTCCTTTGTTTAATTACCCTCGCCCCAGACTTCTCTCAGTCGACGCTTGTTACTAACAGAAGCTTCAGCTTGGGAAGAAACTGAAGGAAGGAAGGTTTCTTCTCTGTGAATCGCCTCCAATATGAATCAGATGCAACATAACGTCAAGATTAAAGACTATAAACGTTATGAAGCTCCAGGACCGTTTGTACGAACCGCCTACAGGCTGAACTATCCGCAAAACTACCCAAACTCACAAGAAACAAGGAGGATGGAAGAACGCTTCCAGACGATCCAATGGCCTCGAAACAAAACCCTCGTTGGATTGACAGACCAAGGGGATAGAATGAGGTTTACAAGAGACCAGCAGATAAGCGTTCTGAAAAACCAAAGCGAAATCTTAACCGATGTACAACACCACAGAAAAGTGCTTCTCGATACCGTCAAACAGAACATTCATGTTGCTAGGGACGAGTTTGCTCGTGAAGTTTACACAGGAAGACCTGGAGTTCGCGACATGTTACGAGGCACTCAGCCGCTGTATAAAGTCATTAACAATGGAACATTATATGGCTGAGTATTTTTTGAGGTCAAGGATTAGATATTGTGGTATTTCAAAGTTTTGATTTTGGATTCAGATAGTTAGACAAGTCTTTGTTTTATAGAGATTAGTAGTGACATTAGTGCCATGTTTACTTTATGTAGTGGGTTTGCAACCTATTGTTAAAACCAGGGAGAATATTGAGTGTTTGAAAAAGTAAGGCTCTTTTCAGATATAAAGAATTCTCTTTCTGTTATCAAATTTAAAAGTTTTCAGAATTGTGTAATTTTATGTATAAATTGCTTTAATATTTTATAATTTTGGGTAAATAAAATGTTTTAAAAGGATATAATTTTAATTTGTCATTTATCATAACTGTTTGCTAACAAATATTAGCAGAAGAAGTTATTTCTGATTGCACATAACACTATTACCTAGTTTTTAAAATGTAGCTGACGGCCCTGTAAAAGCAAAATCATTGACAGAGATTCAACATAATTTTCAAATTATTCATATCTAGATTAGGGGGGGTGGGGGGCAAAGGGAACTTGCATATGAAACAGGTGGGGATGCTTGTCGTCTTGCTTTGGGGGTGTAAATTTTGGGTTTTGGTTTCACTTAGGGTGTTCTAGGCAAAACGCCATCATATGTAGCCATTTTCCCTTGATGTAGCGTGTACGTAGCCGTGAAAGTCTCATTTAGGGTTTCATGTAAAGAAATATAAAAATATATATTTAATATATTTTAAATATGGTCTCTTTAAGGGGTCAAAAAATCCTGGGCCAAGCCATGGTTCGTCCTCTTCAGGAGTTTAATTCAAAATTTCTGAGGAGCATCCCCACCCTTTCATATGTGAAGTCCCCCCTCCCCCGCCTTGCG